AAGACCCTGCCCTGACAGCGTTGTATCTTCACTGTGGTAGACCTCTAACCTGGCTACCTTGTATCTTAATGTCTGTACATTCACTGTGACAAGACCCTGCCCTGACAACGTTGTATCTCCACTGTGGTACACCTCTAACCTGGCTACCTTGTATCTTCATGTCTGTACATTCACTGTGACAAGACCCTGCCCTGACAACGTTGTATCTTCACTGTGGTACACCTCTAACCTGGCCACCTTGTATCTTCATGTCTGTACATTCACTGTGACAAGACCCTGCCCTGACAACGTTGTATCTTCACTGTGGTACACCTCTAACCTAGCTACCTTGTATCTTCATGTCTGTACATTCACTGTGACAAGACCCTGCCCTGACAACGTTGTATCTTCACTGTGGTACACCTCTAACCTAGCTACCTTGTATCTTCATGTCTGTACATTCACTGTGACAAGACCCTGCCCTGACAACGTTGTATCTTCACTGTGGTACATCTCTAACCTGGCCACCTTGTATCTTCATGTCTGTACATTCACTGTGACAAGACCCTGCCCTGACAACATTGTATCTTCACTGTGGTACACCTCTAACCTGGCCACCTTGTATCTTCATGTCTGTACATTCACTGTGACAAGACCCTGCCCTGACAACATTGTATCTTCACTGTGGTACACCTCTAACCTGGCCACCTTGTACCTTCATGTGTACATTCACTGTGACAAGACCCTGCCCTGACAACGTTGTATCTTCACTGTGGTACACCTCTAACCTGGCCACCTTGTACCTTCATGTGTACATTCACTGTGACAAGACCCTGCCCTGACAACGTTGTATCTTCACTGTGGTACACCTCTAACCTGGCCACCTTGTACCTTCATGTGTACATTCACTGTGACAAGACCCTGCCCTGACAATGTTATTTTCATCTCTGTACATGCATTGTGACACACCTTTAACCTGGCCACCTGTATCGTCATATCTATACATTCACCGCGGCACGGCCCTGACCTGACAATATTGTATTTTCATATCTCTACATTCATTGTAACACACATCTAACCTGACAACCTTGTATCATTATATCTATACAATCATTGTGACACACCTAACCTGACAACCTTGTATCACTATGTCTATACATTCATTGGGACACACCTAGCCTGACAACGTTGTATCATTATGTCTATACATTCATTGGGACACGTCTAACCTGACAGCCTTGTATCATTATGTCTGTACATTCATTGTGACACACTTAACCTGACAACGTTGTATCATTATGTCTATACATTCATTGTGACACACCTAACCTGACAACGTTGTATCATTATGTCTATACATTCATTGGGACACATCTCCACTTCATTATCGTGTGTGTCATATTTGATCGAGTTTCTAAATCCTTACAGTACGGTTCCTAAGCCAGTGCCAATAGCCACCAAACCTACAAATCTTAAGGAAACTATTTAGCCCAGTGGTTAGAGAGTTCAGGCTCATCACGAAGACACTGTTGAATCAGATTGTTTGTGTTTTCGCCGCGATGGCTCTAATATTAGGGGAAGTGGCCTAAAGACCGACTCATTAACATTGTTATGTCTGTGTTCACAAAAATGACCACCATGGGTCGAGAATTAATACTTTAAAGATAAAGAACAGTTAAAAGGCGCGTCTTAACGTTTAGCAAACAGACGAAAACTCAACAAAGTACAAGTCATGAAATCAAACCGAATGATGTAGAGTCACACCTTTACATTGGTTCAAAGCACAGAATTCCTGAATGTACACATTTGCTCATATAATGTACGTCTCGAAAATAGCTTTACAAATGTCATGCAATTCTGCATTATTTGTGAATGGTAGCAAGTTTCATAGACAAAAAGCATCCAGAACCCCTTAGAACTTAGGAATTCGACTGAAAAAAGTGTCATATTATCACATTGTAACCCTTGTTAGCACATTTTGTACTTCCATTGTAATTCATTGCTGTGATTTGTGAAGTTAAATTGTTTCATACAGTTGTTAATTATATAACAGGTATTTGCTGTTTGTCGGTTTCACTCTGAATTCTCTTGTGAATAGATTTCTGGGTCAACTTATTCGACATGTAACATGCCTCATAGTCGCAGAAGAAATTTTGTGGAGAAAATACATTGTAAAATTAGAAACATGAATTTACGCTACTTTAACCTGAAGAAATAACGCTACATCAAAATTCTCAGTCACGCAAATTTAAATTGTCAGCATGGCATATAAAATATCTTTAAAGTATTTTACAATCTGATTTCCGTGTCCGCGGGTGAAAAGATCCCAACGATCTATGACATCCCTCTGCTTCCCTTCCCGCTGATCTGTATAATTATATAAAGTCAAAACAAAGTGGTTTGGTCAAGAGGTGTAAGTTACTGCATCGATGACTAGAAATAGAGGGGACCAGCGAGACGGTCTTTTCTGTTCCATATTTAGATCAGATTTGGAGTGATCCAAGAGGGACGACTTCAACTTTCCCATAATCGATTTCCCCTTCATGTCAAGCAATATTCTTGCAGCTCCAACCTGTATCGTCTACGATTCACATATTTTGATGTACAATCAATTATGCTCTTTCTGCGAAGAATTTAGAGATCGTCATATCACAATTGCCCAAAGGGTTATAACATTAATTGTTTAAAGGATACATGTTGCAAAATTGTCAAATTTGTCGCATCAGTTGCAAACAGTATTTTGGATAACTCCGTATTGTCACGTCCCTTATTTCCGGCTTGTTCCTGAGTGTGTGTGTATCGATTTGTTATTGTTGTTGTTTTTGGATTTCTTGGCTTACACCTACGACTTTTAACCTCACATAGCCATTTATATTCACACCATAATTCCGTTTGTTTGGTTGTTTCGGGCCCATCATGAATTGGTTTTATCACATGCTACGATCAAAGGCGAGGTTCACGTGAAATACGTGCACCGTGATTAAGCAATTATCACATTTTAGTAAAATCAATTGATGTCGTTGTTGAAAAGCAAATATGGGGCCTCTTCAAATCACAACTGTTCAAAGATGGTAAGTTATTAGTACGATCACATGTCTTTAAAGGTTATTGCAAGTGATGTTGGTTATCATCAATCGACTATGAGCAGATAGAACAGAAAACAACAGTAAAGTAATGTCAGCGTTCAGGTCGACAACGAGTGACAACTCCTAGGTAGGATACAGTCCTTCGCACGATTTCATCTGTTCATGTCAAGTGACCTGTTAAAAGCCTAGCTTGGTGTCAAGCACTAGAATTTGAGGTCATGGCGAACTTGTATGATGAAAGTCTATTTCGTTTGTTCATGACTGATGGATGGCCGAGCTCGTGTTTGGAAACACTGGATATGCACAACGGAATATCCTGGAGCAAGTACCATTTGCCAGTAAGCGGTTTCAACTCTACCTTGATATCGCAATCCCATGGAGCATGTGGACATTATGGATCGCATGAAACCTCAAAGTCCTCCAGTTCAAAATCTTGATGTATTGAAGCAAGCCCTACGCCCAAAATGGAAAGCAATAAATCAACATCAAATTCAATGTCTGATACAGTCAATGAGGAGTGGGGCCAGGATTTTATTGCAGTTGGCGAATGTTACACCCAATATCGGTCATTGATACTTATGTGATTTCTTGAGGATTGTATGCCATAAAAAGACCGCGTTTGTTAACGTTATACGTCCATGGGTATCAGCAGTACAAAATGAGTCAGTGTTTGCTATGTTTGCTTCTATGAATAAACTACAGTTGTACGTTCTTTTTGCGTTTAGATTAACGCTAAATTATTCCTTAAGGGTCAGTTAGATAGTAAGTTAAATTGAGGTTAGGATAAGTTCCTTTGCTGTGGTTCATGGTAACATATATTTGCTGTGAAATATATGGCGTGTTGCGATACTTATTTCCATGTAGTTAGATTTTAAGTATTTTTGAAGAAATGGAAAGACAGGCCAAGACTTATATTCTGTTTGAATACCGGATGTTTTACATAAGCAGACAAGTTGCAACACATATTTCGATTTTTGCAATGTTGTTATTATAAGTATTATACTCATTTCAGCTTTGAAAACATGCAGAGTTGTCAAACGGAATTATATCTGACATTTTCACATTGTGCCGTTGCTACTTACACACACCTGGCTCAAAGTGAGTGAGTGCGTGAGTTAAGTTTTTCGCCGCACTCAGCAATATTCCAACTACATGGCGGTGGTGTATAAATAATCGAGTCTGGACCAGACAATCCAATGATCAACAGCAAGAGCTTCGAGTTACGCAATTGGGAAACGATGACATGTATCAACCAAGTCAACAAGCCTGACCACCCGATCTCGTTAGTCGCCTCTTACGACAACCATGGGTTGCTGAAGATCAATTCCAACCCGGACCTTCATGGCTCCCTGGCTCAAAGAAAACATTGACCAATGTTATACTATTTTTTTAATAATTTGAATGATACTTGCTTGACACATCAAAGTTTAAACTTTTTAAATATATCATTTTAATATAAATAATTATTCCTTCTGAGACCCAAAACCTTGCATAGATTTGCTACCCTGAATGTCTAAGGATGTAACTTCTCTTATCTCAGTCAAGGTCAAATGAGAAATACTACGCATTGATTAATCTGTATGTATACATCCATTTTTCAGGATCGCTCTGAAACCCGTTTATTAACTAATGTCATTATATAAATATCAATGTCAATCGTAACAAGGGGTTACATCGCAAACTATTTTATTACACTGGATTTTGTAACTGTGCTTCCTAGTGAATATTATTAAGTGAACAAACCATAGTTTGTCATTTTTATGTACAACATTGATTCACCTGTAAAGGAGACACTTCCACGTTTGGCCTAAGTCTTATCACAATAAGAACAAACCCCAGTGACTTAGACTTCTCTTCTTATCACTCTCGCCCGGCACAGAGGCAACACCTTGATAAGAAAACAGTTTCAATAGTATGTTAGGGACAGTGACAGAAGGAGTGTTTGGAGAAAATGTCAGGAGTTTTGTTTCTCGTTCTGGCATGTTTTACGTCAGGTAGGTCAAACCGATTACCTTTAGTAATAGATAGAAACACCTTGCGGTGTCTTCCATAAATTCCTAATTAAACTCCTCATACTGTTCTATCGAAAAAATTAGGTTAAATGTAGTTGGAAAGTGAAAATTCTGATCATTACGACAGTGCAATAGGTATTTTCAGTTGCTTATGAGGAAAGCCGCAATTTACAGAGTCACTGTGTTCTATCAAGAAAATGACGCAATAATTAATCTTTAAAATGCCCTATGTTTCTCAACCATTCATGTGTCGCATTTTACACCACGTGATCGGTGTTTTTCCTTTGATGTCATGACACAGAAAAATATGGTCAACTCTTTTTTATTTCAAGCATGAATCAAGTCTAAAGTTTTAAAAGATTCAGACTTAATAGAAGTGTATATCGTCGAGAATATGTTTGTAAAGTTTAGTCTCTATGCTTTGTCTACTTCTTAAACTAAACTATATTACTGTGCTGAAAGTGAGATTCTTTATTGTTTTACGACTGAACACATGGTTTGAACACGTTTATTTCTTGAACCAATATTTGGACATCATACAAGTGATAGGAAACGCATGTGTTGCTATCCAGTTGAAATATTTGAAATTCTCATTGCAGTGGGTCCGTTAAATTAACTTTTTTTTAAAAAGCATTTTGTCGATATAAATAGTGGTATGGTGTAAGGTCAAGGTTCAGATTAAAAATCCAGATGCCCCAAATTCCACAAACCTAGCCTCCCGAATTGTTCTAGCCGGGTTTCGGATAAAGAAGGTCCTATTTTTCAACATGTAAATATCTTATTGGTGAAATAATTTGATAAATAGTAAATAAATAAAGCAGTCGTAATGATGCGTTAATTGTGATTCTCATTTATAATCAATGGCTTATAATTAAATTAGCGTAAAGATATTTGTTAGAGACAATTGTCTGTTTTATAGTTTGTCTCTGTTGTATATAACACATCTTAATGACAAGGGGCGATTGGGTAGCCTAGTGGTTAAAGCGTTCGCTCGTCACGCTGAAGGCCCGGGTTCGATTCCCCATATGGGTACAATGTGTGAAGCCCATTTCTGGTGTCCCCCGCCGTGATATTGCTGGAATATTGCTAAAAGCGGCGTAAAACCATACTCACTCACTCACTCTTAATGACAATGGATACCGTCTTGAAAAAATACCATTTGATATATTCAGCCATTACTTCTGCTTACCCCAACAGAACTTTCAAATGTGACATAAATTTGCATGCAGCAATCAACACATCTATTTCTTTCTTTACATTTTATAGTTTCTGTTTACACTTTTGAACATCAGCAAAAGATCTTGTTCTCATCGTAATAAACAAGCCAAAATGAAACTCAGTTTAAACTAGCCCATCCATAATATATACACATTTATTCGTGTACGTAAAGGATGTTTGCATCGTAGGGGCAACACAAGAGCAACGGCACCTCTAATATTTCAAAACTTGATGACGTGACTTACAGAATAGACAATTGTAGATCTGGACCTTTAGGAATTAAAATACAGTAAAAAAAAACCTTGTGGTACACTGTTCAATCTAAGGAATGAAATTCTTTGCTGCAACAAAACTTAGCAAAAACCTCTTATTCTGTAGCCTCATAAATACAATACGAGCTGTATTGAAGTGAATACTCCAAACTTTCAGACATTTCTTACAAAGCAGTACTATGTGAGTTGGAATGAAATAACTCTGAAGCAGGAACTTATTGATACGAGGTTTTGAAGTACAAAATGAGCCAATAACAGGTTTGTAAATGATAGATTCGTACGTTCTGAAAACTATCTTCCTTTTATCAATACAAGGAACACAATGGTGTTTATTACACTAAAGGTATTTCAGATAAGTCGGTTTCACTACTGTTTCATGGAATAAAATAGCTTGTTCTGTTCTCTGTACGAGTGGTTCAGTCTGTTGTCCCAATGTGTAATTGCAGGTGTCTTCAGTGATATAGATTCTCCAGGATGTGGGATTAATGATGTGGGGTTTGACTACACCACCCTTCCAAAAGTAACCCGGAAACGCATCGTTGGTGGACAAATCGCAACTCCACATTCATTTCCATGGATGGTAAATAAGAAAGAGATCTTTTGAAATATCTGACTGAAATGTAGTCTTAGCCACTCTTTAGAAACCAGGCTGAGTCAATTGCACGACAATGTATTATATAACTGATGAATCATCAACAAGTTTCATTTCACTGGAAAAATATACTTAGTCTGTACAGAAATAAGATAACAGATATAAACAAGGCACACACACACACACACACACACACACACACACACACACACACACACACACACACACACACACACACACACACACACAAAAACACACACACACACACACACACACACACACACACACACACACACACACACACACACACACACACACACACACACACACACACTATTATTACATTCAGTTAACTGGCGAATCACCAGCAAGTGTATCAAGATTGACTACACTGGAAAAATGAACTAACTCTGTATAAGAATGTCGAGCAAAACTAGTAGGTAAATATACATATGATATTCTTTACATAGCCAGTTACGGTAATGGCGTCTATCACATCATATATATATTAATGTAAAATATGTTAAAGTGTAACAATAATTTGTAATTAATAATTTTTACAAGGACTTTAATAGGATGAATTAATTATAAAGCAGATACCCAGTGAAAGTTCATATCGTGTCATCACAAAAGTTCAATCAGGAGAATGCCTCACAGTAGCGTTAGGAATATACACTATATGAGTTTATAATCTTGCTCAGAGTCTGTGTAATTCTTTCTGACTGCAGGTTGCTCTTGAATATCGAGGGGTCTTTAACTGTGCTGGATCGCTTCTGAAGGGTTCGTCAAACAGATGGTATATCCTCACCGCTGCCCATTGTCTTCAGTAAGTTACCCAGTATGTAGATAATGAATGCCTTGCTGTATTGGAATATAGATAAATGGATCTCAGCGCAACCGAATACAAATGTACCTAACATACGATATGAAGTGTTCGTCACGTAAAACACTTCAGCTTAATCGAGCTATGGTTGCCAAGAGGATTATAGCTTAAAACGTTCCGCCGGAAGTGGGTAAGATTCCAAGATTTTCCCAAATTCAATTTTCGGTTTGATAATGATTCTTATGGAGTACTTGTACAGAAAGCGTTGTGTTTTCGCGGTTATTTCCTATACTATATTTATACAACTGAAACCAAAATAACGTTAATAGGGCCATTTTACATATATCCTAAGTCATACTCTCTTCCTGAATAAATCATAACCATTTTCTGAAACTTCAAACAATCGTGTCACCTACGTTTTGTACCAGTGGAACGATTGTCACGGATTGGAAGATTCGTCTTGGCGCACACGATCTGTCGGCAAATGAACAATCCACTGAGTTCATTGACGTCAAGGCTATGATGAGCCATCCTTTATTCAAGCCTCTCACACTTGAGCATGACACCGGGTTGATGGAGTTGGAGAGAGCACCAAGGATAAACAGGCCTGAAATCAGTTTCGGTTGTGTTACTGGCAATGAAACTGTTGCAGGAGAAACATGCTATGTTATTGGATGGGGTACAACATCAGAAGGTATATTTCAATCGAGGAACCGGTATGCCAATATTACCATTTTATGACCAAACAAATGTCATGTTGTATCACTGTGACACGTTTTATTCTGATTGGGTAAATTGAGATTAAATAAGTTTATTACTCCATTCCATACCTTAAGATTAACAGTACTTTTCAAACTAACACCCAGATAAATACAATATCGGTAAACAGATTATGGTCGTAATTTTACTGTATTATATTTATTATATTTTATTATATTTCCTTCATAATCTATAAATTGTTTCACTTTAGTCAAGAGGTATGTTTATTTCCATCAATCATGATTTTGAAAATATTAATTTTATATCCCAACAGAAAGCGCTCCATCAGATATGCTGCAGATTGTGGAGAAGCCCGTAATGTCCAAGTCCGCATGTAGAAATATATATGGCTCGAACGACTTCCACGAAGCTTCCATGATCTGTGCAGGTTATCCTGAAGGAGGGAAAGACCCGTGTAAAGTGTGTTACACATACATTTCTGAATATACGCTATTTTTGGATTACTAGACTTTTCTATGATACTTGACGTACCATGACGTGAATATTGACTAGGTTATAGTCCTAAAACCCATTCTTATAACCCCTTATTTCAATTGCTTAAACGGTTTGGGCGTGTGTGTTTCAGGCTGACAGCGGTGGACCATTGATGTGTTATCGTAATGGCCGTATGGAAATAATTGGTACGTATTACAAAATATATGTGAAATAGGGTTATATAATGACATACATGTATGAAGAATGTCAAAAGTACAGCTAGAATATATGATGTGTTAGGAAAATTGAGATTTACGTAGCACTCATGTCTGATGAGTGTATAATCCTTTAATCAGATAATTTCCTTTTGTCAAAGCGAACATTAAATCTAAATAATATGTTTATACATCGTTCTAACCAGGGTGTTAGTATGTAATGGGAGCAGACATTGTCACGGATACTGGTATGACGACAGAGTTAGCGTGTAATAAGAAACAGACTATCAAATATTGCAATAACTGTTCAGAGTATATGTGAGGTGAGGTGAGGTGAAATTGGGTTTTACGTCGTGCTTGAGAATATTTCGCTCATATGACGACGTGCATGCGTGTGTATGTGTATGTGCGGCTGCTTGTACTAGCCCAGACTAAAGCTGGTTTTATAGTGCTAGCCCACTGAGATACCATGCCGCAGTGAAGCAGGAATACCCCACTCAGACACAGTATACTGACTCCGAGCCGACCAGTCCTTGTTGTACCCATTAATGCCGAGCGCCAGGCAGGGACCAACAAGTACCATATTTTAACGTCTTTGGTATGACGCGGTCGGGGATCGAACCCGCGACCTTCCGCTCTCCGGGCGGACGCTCTAACCGCTACACCACGGAGGCGGTCAGAGTATATGTAACCACAGGGTTATATAATAAGATACATTAAGCATAAATGATGAGTTAGGAAAATTGGGATTTACATAGCACTGTTGTCTGAAGAGGGTATAATCTTTTAATCAGATAGTGCCTTTATAAAGTATAAAGTGTTCAAAACAAGATTATAGAGGAACATGATGTGTTTGGGATTGCACTTTCTTTGTGGGGTGCGGAATCAGGTCCTAGATGGGACTCGTCCCGACAGGGGTGCGGGGGTCTGTGTTTTGCTGGGAGGGTGTGGTCCCAATAGAACATGTGTTCATTTAACCACTTTCTGAATGACATTGTGTGTTCAAAGATTATAGCGCTCTGAAAATGTTATTTAACAGCTTTATATCTTAAACTTGTACTCTAGACCTCCTGACCCTGAAATGCAATAAACGTCTGTTATTCTGTTATCAACGTGTTATCAACATTAAATGTTTATGGTATGACTATAAATTCTATAAACCAAAGGGGTTAGGATGTAATGGAAGCGGATACCGGTGTTAGTATCTGTACCAACAAATACCGTTCACAATGGACCGTCAAAGATTGCAATAGCTACTTATAGTATGTGTACATTGTAGCATTTGTAATATTATATGTCATCAATACATTGTCAAACAATGGTCATGACCTGGGGCGAACGTATTCCTTCAATACAGTACAAGTCTAATAAAGAGTGTGTTAGTGATATAATATATAGAGAAACAATGACAATGATTTCATATTATTCTTACATGTCTTAATAGATGCGTTATCATGAACAGACTTTAATCAGTTTAAATATTTCAGGAACCGTCAGCTGGGGCTTTGGCTGTGGTCAGCCTAATTCTCCAGCCGTATATGCAAGTGCAACAAGCGCCATACAATGGATTGTGACCACCATCAATGCATAATAAGCGTTATGAGGCACAGATTTATGTGCAACTTGAATACAGGTTTTCTAAACGCTTGTCACAGTTTGATTTGAATATCTATATGCAATGCGACGATAATTGTTTTGCAATAATTGTACGACGCACATATTAGACATTGGAAGGAATCAATGGATGAAGGATGGTATAAGTGCACATATAGCTACAATATGCAATTAAACTTTCTCATTGCCAATCAAACCCTCAATGTAGGATTGAAGTGATGTGCGTACGTCGTACGCAGTAATATTGCTTAGATTTACGGTAGAAATGTAACCCGATTCAGTGACAAACCACGGACTTGTGGAAACGATGTCACACACACACACACACACACACAGGCAAACACACACACACACAGAGGCAAACGATGTCACACACACACACACACACACACACACACACAGGCAAACGCACACACACAGAGGCCAATTCCGGTTCAAGTCGCATGAAGCAGCACTCAGTGATCTTAATAAACGGTTTCGTCAATGAGAGACTGCACAGCCCCGGGCTGCATATTTAATGCTATGTTCGCACTATCACGATTCACGAAATCGTGGTCTTAATCGTGGACTAATCATCGTGATCCTATCAGATCTTATCAGATCTCGAGGTTAATCGTGGCGATCGTGTTGATCGTAGAAAACTTTTGGACGGTTCAAAAATTTTCTTCGATCATCACGATTAATTGTCAGTCGTGATCATCGCATCAGATCGTATTGCATCGTAACAAAGCGCAATATATTGAATCTAATCGTGCTTCCAAATCGTGGTGATCGGAATCAGTCGTGGACAAGACAAACACCACGCTCTGTTGATCTCCCTCGAGCTGTCACGCTCTGTCGGGTCCCATTGCTCACGAATGACTCACAAGCAGATACGACAATTGACGCTTTTTCACGGACACCCACGATCTGTCACGAGGTCTTGCGCTCATATATGTACCGGGAATCAGAATTAATGCGCCTCATTCAGTGATCTACCCTTGAAGAGAGCATGTCTGTCAACCTGCTTTTGTTAGTTAATTTTGGAGGGTTTGAAAGATGCCACCCAAGGGTACCAGAGGCAAGAAGGGAAAGGGCAAGGCTGCCCCACCCCCTGAGCCTGAGCAGTCCTGCCAGAGTTTCAGTTTTATCAATAATAAAATTCAAAATATCAAATATCATCCTCTCCACCTTCCCCGTCATGCAGCCCGGTCATCCTTTGCCTTTGCCATGCGACCGCACCTTGTGGTGATTTGAAGAAAGCCTTCAGGAATTCCCTCTGATGATCCTTTGCATCTGTTCTAAGTGAGTTTCGAGGTGCAGGAGGTTGATCCACATCTAGCCACTCCACTTGCTCCCTCCGTTAGCTACGGCTGTCCATGCTTCAATGGGCACAGGTACGCTAAACAGCTCATATTTGTACGCTTGCACAAGTGCGTGGCACACTTATGGAACCATCTCTGAGATGGTGGACACTCCACACCTGAAGGCAGACCGATAGTTGTCTCCAGTGGCAAGGTGCCTCAGTGTCACTGCCAGTTTCAGTCAAGGTGAGAGGGGTTGCCTGAAACTGGTGATTTCCCTATCGATTGCTAGGGCCACCCTCTGCACTCTTCATCGAAGAGCTGTGGTGTTAACCTTGTGTAGTTTTGGAACGCTCTTGGATCATTCAGCCTCAAATGGGTGTCTTGGAGGCTGGAGAACTGATCAAACTGTTGTCTCCTCTCCTCTGTGAGCCATGGTCGCACCCAGTAGTGCCTGACTGCAGCTCTCCTGGCCCTTTGTGGTTGGAGTTGTAGCTGGTCTGGCTGCTGCTCGTCTTCTTCCTCTCTGGCGATAATGTAAGCATACAGTAATACTGCAAATGTTGGGTTGTCATCATCCTCAACTCAAGCCATCATCAATGGTTGTAGGTTGTAGCGTTCACTCTGTAGAAGTTCAAGAAACAATGAAGTGTATGGTCAGTCGGGCTGTATGTATACCCGTCGGGGTCCAATCGTAGTTCAAATCAAATCATCATCACCCTCGATCCTGATAATGAAAGACATCGCGACCACAATCGTATCCTATCGCGCATCGGTTTGTGATGAACGAATCGGAAGGTACCTGCACGTACCAGATCGTCCTAAATCGGGGACCCCGATCGTGCTGACCGTGTCAGATCGCAAGCCAATCGTGGACTCGATCGGGAAAATCCTATCACAACGCATGCGATCGTATCTGAACGGGAGGCCAGATCGAGATAGATCGTGTCACCTTATGTTGACAATATCGCATTCAAGCGCAACAAATTGTATCAGAACGTATCGACTCGCATCACCTCGTATCCAAATCTGAAGCTGCGAGTGGCCAGTGAACCTAGCATAAGGTAAATCAGCCCTGAGTCACATGACCACTTGTTTTGTATATTTCCAGAAACAGAATATCACCCTTCCTTTCCCTTCCCTTGTTTATGGATGTCCATACAAGTTTCCACAGGCTGCTCGTGTACCACATATTTGGTAAATCTTTGTATAAACATGTACACTTCACCCACTGATTGTTAGTGGCCATGACCCGCCACTATAGGGTGGTGGGCTAGCCGAAGATACGGGTTCGATTCCCCACATTGCTGGAATATTGCTAAAAGCGGCGTAACACTAACTAACTCGCCCAGTCACTCAGTGACTCACTGACCTCTAGAAAAGAATTTTAAAGATATACTCAGAATCAAACGTTAATGGGACATAAAATATGTTCATTGGTAATCTCTTGAATGAATTTTGGGATTTAAACCAGAGAAAGAGTTTTTTTATAATATTCGAAGAAACGCTTTAAAGCTGAAGTTGGATTGCATGAAGGCGCATGACATATGTCACATTCCACATATATGACAATGGCATCTATAGAAAAAAAGACCTCAATTCATCGTTCTGGAACAAGTTTTGCCACGTCTCAGGGGAAGTGACAGATAGAAAGCAAAGGGTATGTATCAGTATGGTACCTCGCTGCGTGACGTTGCTTGCCGATTCAACGTCAACAGAAACACCATTTGACACAGGTGGTTTCAGTAAATCAATCAAGTTACATATCGTTCCCGTAGTGGCGGCCCACCAATAACCACCCAACGTCTAGTGAATTCGAACTCCGACACAGGTTCAAGCCAGCAGCCTTTACCATACCTGCCAACAGAGGTATATCTGCGAGAACAGACCGACGACGTCTACGCCTCTGTGGCATCCGTGTAAGACGCCAAGCCGGCTGGGCAATTCAGACGCCAGAACATCGACGTCGACGTATTTCATAAATATAACCTGTTGCGGATTTTAAGTTAAATTCTGTAACATCTAAGTATGTCGGTGGCTGTTACCATCAAACCTATTATAAAACATTGTCCTTACTGATTATCTAATCTGTAAAGCAGGTTGACGCCTTGCTCCACAGCATGTTTCGTGAATTTGCAATTGGTGTCAACACGAAGAATATGCCAGCTCTTCTGTGTTACGTTTTGTTGTATTTTGCATCAGGTAAGACATAACTATGCATTGTTTTATCCCGGTAATAACTTTCTTTCTTTAAAGGATTATATCGACATCTGTCTTCTTTGTGGTGTGAAACTATTTCCGATAAACATACATAATGCAACGCAAATATATTTTATTTCTTTATCGCGATTAAATGAAAAGGAAGGTAATGTTACAATATTAATACGAGTCAATGAAAATTATGCTTTTATTTCGTATCTTAGTTTAAATGTTAGTGTTGACACAAACAAACAAGATTAGACGCAAGTCGCGCTATGAAAGTTGCCTCAAACGTAGAAATTAAAATGTATTACTTGTAACACATTCTGATATAATTTTAGGTGTGAATGTTATTACTGATATTATTAATTATTTATTTGATAAATAAATAATGATCCATGAACTGCCCTATACGTCAGAGTGACACTATCGGCTGCATATTTGCACTGTAGGTCAGGTCCATAGATCGTTATCAAAACCATGTCATAAACTGGGTCAGTGTCTCTGCCATACTGCAATCATTTGCAGGACTGATACACGTCAAAGTACATATGAGTTTTCATTGGCCCGAACCCAAATTTAGCCTCTTTTTAAAGTTAAAAGTATGGCATGTGCAGTTTCTCACAGTAAACATTATCTACATTTTTAACGTTGAAGCCTTACGCATCTCCCACCCTCACAGCTGTCATTGAGTACACCCTACAAATATACCATGTATCTTCCTGCAGTCAACATATAGCAGCAGCTAAGGAACGTTGCACCCTAAAGGCTGTGAATATATATTATAGCTAAAATGGATAGATTATCATTATAACGCACGCATGTTATCAAAATGAGCGGCCCAAATTGCTTGACGACGGGCCATTATCACGCCCGTTGTTTGGTGACGTCATAAGGAGCTCAGCTCTTGATGTTCAATCACCCATGACCCCATGACGTCATGCCTCACCACCGACACGTTGGCATGTCCTACGGCTCGTTTGAACTTGGGTTCAATATTGACGATATTTCTGACTCACATTCGCCACATGTACCTGGTGCCATTATGGACTTTCTTGCCGATGCCAACCTTAACAATTGTACCATAAATTACAACATGCAGCAATGAAAACATTGACTGGAACTTTAACGTTGTTGAGCACTGAAAAAAAGGCGGCTGGTAGTATGGGCACAGACCAAAGTCGAATGTTGTGACGCTCAATAGTGACGTCATCTGTTTTGTTCTATGACGTTTCCATACTTGTAAAAAGTGGGTCAGTGAGATCCGTCGTTTGGTGTTAGAAGGAGATGCTTCAAAACCGATACCGTTGTTTGTTTTTATTTTATAAAAGATTCTACCCATTTAGCTATAATATCGGTGCCTTCGTCGGGCAGTTAATGAAATACCTCGGGCTTCTGCAAATGATAATGCCCTGAACAATAGCGTTACCCTTATAGTATTAGACATAACTGGGGTCTACTATGTCGTTAGAACTAAATGCTTCTGTTATCCCAGTCACACTTTGCTTGATTCAGGCTGGTCTCGCTTTAGGTGCTTATAAACTTGTTACTAAATCATTTCCAAAAATGCAAAACTATATTTTGGCAGATGTATCGCGTGATACAACGCTTAGAAATGTTGCTCTCTGAAGGCAGTGCCCCTTGTATTAGACACTACTGGATTAACTGAATTAACTGCGTCCTATTATGTAGTTGGAACTAAATGCTTCTGTTTGGGTACAGTTTGTGTGCTTAATTCAGGTTGGTACTGCATACTTGCTCGCTTCAAGCTCTTATCAACCTGTAACTAAATGATTTTCAAATTAAAACGACAAAATATCTAATATATCAATGTGTTCGTGACCATCTTGCCAGGTGTTTCGAGTGATTTGAGTCCTCCAGGATGTGGCATCAATGATGTGGGTTTTGACTACACCACCCTCCCAAAAGTAACCCGGAAACGCATCGTTGGTGGAGAAAATGCAACTCCACATTCATTTCCATGGATGGTAAATAAAGAAATACCTTTTCCAACATTAAATTCCAGGATACACAATGCCATTTCGAAAGTGGTGTAGGGGATTATACTTTCTCAGTAAGGTACAGATTCTTGTGATGTAGGGGGTTCAGTCTAGGATTCGAAGCCACACCATCAGCACACACTTTCGAAATGGCATTGGGTATTCGAATCATAGCTTTGTCACAATTTACATTTGTCAGAGGGGTACACATTTGGACTACCATTTTTGTGGAAGCTCGTTGGCTGAGTGGGTTAGATTTGACCTTGTGTGCTGACTTGTAATGGTTTCACTCTGAGAAAGTCCTAGCCAAAACATGTCGGTGCAAAGATCTCCTTACTAATCTTTCAAGCACATTCATTACATTTAGTTAAGGGATGTATCATCAAATTCCATCACACTGGTTTAAGTTAAGTTGTTAGTTTTGTTCAGAATGAATGGTAAATACCGTGTAATACGAACAGGGTCTCTCAAACTACACAGTGTGAGCATATACATATTCTAACCAAATCAGATTTCATAAACAATGTATAAGTAAATTAGCTGACAATACCAAATAGTCTTTGAATGACCATTGCATATGTATGCACTAACATTATGTTTTATGATTTTAGTTATCGGAAAGATTCGGTCTTGATATGGACAAATTGTTCAATGAGGGGAATAAAGATAAGAAAGCTACATAAAAAACATGCCTTAATAAATATGATTCAATGATGTGGCTCTAGATCATACATAAGGCTTAAATATGCCGGTCGCATAGTTCCATCTGTAACACAGTCAAGTGCAGTCTGGACCAGGCAAACCAGTGGCTGAAAGAATGAGCATCAACACACCAGCCGATTACAATGACATCCCACTATTCACCGAGTCACAGAGTCTAATCATCCGATCTTCACTGGCCATTATTATGGCAACCTTAAGTCTGTTTTCAACGCAAAACTGTCGCAAAATGTGCTTGTGGAGGCACCAAGTCGTTAGTAAACTCTACAATGAAATGGAACATATTTATCACCAGATACACGTAAATTCTAAATCATATGTTTGTGTGCACTAAAGATTTGCAAGAGAAACAGACGGGAAACAAGGAACCCTATTAAGTTTTGTTTTGAATGTTTTTCACAATGGCGTTTCATCTAAAGACCACTAGATGAAACTGATGTTCCAAATACTAAATGCCTGTCGCGACAACCGTTTAAGGTGAAGATAATATGGTGATCACAGTGTGTGATCTGCTTGAATTAATGTGCTGGTACATATATATCATATCTGTTGCCACGTACCATTGGGTTGTCTAGCCACGATATAGTTGACTTGAGTTGAATACGACCAAATATCCTGTTCCTGCATTGCCTGTATCTATGTCTCCAGGCCGCTCTCGAAAACCGTGGTGTTTTGCAATGCGGTGGGTCACTTTTGAAAGGCAGTTCTGACAGGTGGTTCGTCCTAACTGCTGCCCACTGTTTTCGGTAAGTTGATGGCATAATTGTGTTGATATTTAGGGGTGATGAGTGAGTCTATGTTATTGCCGCTTTGAGCAGTATTTGAGTCATTTTATGGCATGTCATATTGACGAGGGTGTCATATAGTTGGAGTATAAATATTTACTTTATTAGGCAAACTGTACCTGGTGCCGAATTTCAGTGATCTATTCATAAGAATGGAATGTCACATCTACATATCCTTTTCACCCAAAGAAATCTGCTCTCATAATAGTCAAGACAGGCCAATATGTTTCTCGCTAAGAGTGACCAGTCAATAATATATTTAGTCCTAAGTTATAGTCATGCATTACATGTGAACATGCTAGTCCCAGTCCTAATTTCACTGTGTTAATGATGTACACCGATATGACTCACACGTTCTTAAATTGGATGCAGGGGTAAATATAGTGGTACTCCGGATGCCTAAGGTAATGGAGGGAGTTGGAGCCCTTATTAACGTGAAACGATAATCTAGGGAGGGAGTTGATGTTAACACGTGTACCCTTTTTCACTAAGATGAGATCAGAATGAGCGATAACACATTTCCAAAATGTAGTTATTCTAAAACAATCGCTTGTTGGTTTCAAAATGCCCCCAAGAACATTGCTAGATTATGTAATATTTAAAACACCAGTACGATAGAGCATCTGTGTCAGCAATCATTATATAAAAACGAATCATTTGTTACTAACATTATTTCTGTTTATCAGTGGAACTACTGCCGATGAATGGAAGGTTCGCCTTGGCGTTCATGATCTCTCCAAAACCGAATCTTCCTCAGAGTCAATTGACGTAAAGACCGCGATGATCCACCCTCAGTACAATACCCAAACATTGGAGTATGACATCGCCCTGATTGAGCTGAGTAGCGCCCCACAGCTCTCTAGGCCTGAAATCAACATTGGGTGTGTTTCCGGGGATGTCGCTAAAGCAGGAGAAGTGTGTTATGTCGCAGGATGGGGACTCACCTCGTCAGGTATGTCTTTCAGTTCATGACGCTAAATGTATAGAGCAACATGAAGTTAGAAACGGATTCGGGATTAGGGATGCAACACTTTGAAGTCGCGAGATGTTAATTCAAAGTTTACCAAGAAAATGTATGGCTCTTCGTTTCAGTATCGTTGACAAGTGGACAAGTGCTGTAGGTCCAGTTTCATTGTCACGGCCGATGCGCACGGCTTGGTCGTACCAGGATCGCTGATGCCTAGTTAGAGTAGGAAACCTTTGTATTTATGTCATGTCTAGCTCGGTATCCAAGCACTAACATTATTGAACAAGATGAAGATTACCCTTTGAAGATGCTCGAGCCATTCAGCAACTCTACAGGAACTCGACAATGATCTTACGGAAGGGTGTAATAATTTCCGCGGGCAACCATCCAGACACATATTGGAAGCATGGGACGATAGTGTCAGGCTGTTTCATTTTTGTACAGACACTTTGACAGGTAGTCGAGCGGATTATTAGTCACGTGTTGTTTGTAGTTATTGTGTCGTATGACAGAGGACTTTTGTTCACTTATATAAAGTGTGACTATACGAAGTATTATTAGGACTCTCCCTGATGACAAACTGTACTTATAGGAGGCGATCAATCAGATGTTCTCCAACTTATTGAAAAGCCAGTCCTGTCACAAGCCCAATGTAGGGACATATTTGGCTCGAACACCTTCTACGAAGTTTCAATGATCTGTGCAGGCTTCATAGAAGGAGGAAAGGATTCCTGCACCGTAAGTACCATGGCCTTATGATCGTTCAACAGCCGCAGCCCTTCAATTGATTTACACACGGTACCTGGGCTACAAATAGAAGAAGCCAATGAAACTGCCTCATTTGTCTCATGTGTATATCTAATGAATAATGATGTGCACGTTTATAGTGCACCAAATCAACTTCTTCAAGCAAACTCAAAACGTTACATTTAATACCAATGGATCTGTATGTAGTGTAATTGTATGTTCACCTCTATGGGGAGTACTGTTTGTGAAGCGCTGTAAAAAGTCACTGCTATGTTAATAAATATATAGAATCAATAGAAATACAACGTTTTCTCGTTAATGAGCGGAATGAAAAGAAATTTCATGAGAAACTGTGTCATTGTAAGGATACACATTAAGTGCCTATATTTCCCACAGCCTTTACACAGTATTTACGCAATTGATAACACATATTTTTGTTATTTACGATATTAAACCTTTGGGGGCCAGTAGTACATTAACCGCCGGTATTTGTGACCTAGATATATCTGTTCAATTACGATCATGGACAATGAAATAAGTATAAAATCACGACTAGAACACCAGGGGCACTGCCTTTACAAAGTGATTTAGCAAAGAAATAAGTTAATTTTCCCATTATGAGCAAGCTGAGAATATTTTGTAAAATATGTAACTGGGCTGACGTAGTTGATCTAATGCAAAGAAAACGTTTATTACAGAGTGACAGCGGAGGGCCTTTGATGTGCTACAGAAACAATCGCATGGAGATCATTGGTAAGGTGTCATTATTACAAGACATGCCTTTCTCAGAAGTGTTACATACAAAATGGCCATGATAATCACATCCCACCTTCCGGAACACCAGTTAACAAATGTACTACTGCTTCCAGTTGTTGAAGTCCGTCTGATTAACGATCTGTAGGATTTTCTAATTATATTTTAATGTCATGTCCATTATTTCAAAAATACATTTGCAACATCAAAGCATTTCTATCACGGGACGCGGTGCAGCTCTGCTTACGGTGAAAGACCTACATAATAGTTTTAACTTAAGATGACGTTAATCTTGATATTAAAAGCAAAACTTGTTTGCTCCACGGTCTTACATCATATAAATCAACAAGTCTTAACAACAGGGGAGAACTTCATTTTGATGCCACTTTAAGAAATAGATATAAATATATTGAGTCTCTGGTTGTCCGTATCACTTGCATTTTCTTTCTAATTTGAGTACTTATCTACAAAGCAAGTTTTTCTATCCTGGCGTTTTGTAATCAATCGTAGCCCAAATATTAAATACAAAATGTCACATTGAAACATATCAGACCTTCTATCAAAGACATCAGTCTCCCTACAAGTACATGTCAGTTTATTCTTCATGTTTGCAGGCACTGTGAGCTGGGGAATTGGTTGCGGTGAGCCGAACTCCCCCGGGGTCTATGCTAGTGCTTCAGGAGGAAAGCAGTGGATTGAAGCTAACATAAACGGATAGATGGCATCCGAAATAAAAGCATTGAAATACGTCGCATACCCTCGTTTTATTAACTGGTGAAATGAAGCGGGAGTTTCCCACATGGCCGTCACACATTACATTAAGACTGAAATAATACTTAAAGATTGCTCTTTTTTTTATGAATTATTATGTATTAATGTAAATATGTTAACTCGGGACGAGTCTTCTTTCAAAAACGGGCTATTGTAATAGTCAGGTCGTAAACGATCGAGGACTTTGTATTTTTATCACGCTTCCGAGATCGTGTTCATGTTTGTTAACTTCTCAAAACATGATTACATCTTATTACATACATGTATTGTGTGTAAAAACAATGTATATTGTAGTTACAAGTTCATATTAATGTATTTTGTCGTAAGATTTAATGGTTATGATTCGCTCCAGAGATATGCTCGAATTGTCCCGCGATCTCCAGGCGATACGTCATCAAAACATGTGTTGTTGATTCAGAGATTTTGTTTATACATTAAATCTGCTAAAATATAAATGGATATTTAAAAAAGTACTTACGCAGGCGATTTCCTGGAGATGGTAACTGGTAAACTATATCCGTTTAATTTAATGTCACGTCTTATTTGGATGTTAGATCGCATTCTTCTCGCTCTAACGTTCGGCGTCTTCTGCTACATGCATTACCGGAAGTAAGATGACGTCATATAGCATACTCTCGTTCTAAAGCAGTTAGAGAGACAACAGACTCAACATAAGTTGTAGTGTTTTTGTGCCGAGATATTTTTTAGGAAATTTTGCATTATTAGAGTTTTATATTTGAATTACTAAATACTACAGTGCTGCATTTTTGGCTCTGCTTTTGCGCACAGAAGTTATTCTTGTGAAATTGAAAATTTGGAAGTTATAGGCATAATAGATCTACAGTCCTCTGAACTGTCATAACGGACAAGTCGGTAAACTAGCAAAGTTTTATTCACTCTTGCAGTTGCCTATCCTTGAATTGCTATTGTCATCTGTAAAATAAATAACAACAACAGCGAGTAAAGATTCACTGACTTTATATATTTGTTAGAATTTTCTTTTAATCCGTTTTTACATATATCTTCAAAACTGACGGTTGGGATGGGACATAAAATATATCCTGACTACCACGTTCCCCACCCCCCAACCCATTATAGTATAATGGTGTCAGAAGTGGGTACGTATTGCAAAATATATGTGAAACAGGGCTATATAATGACATACATGTATGAAGAATTTGAAAAGTACAGCTAGAATATATGATGTGTCAGGGAAAATGAAAAGCACTCATGTCTGAGGAGGGTATAATCCTTTAATCAGATAATGTCCTTTTGTCAAAGTAAACATTAAATCTAAATAATATGATTATACATTGTTCTAACCAGGTTGTATGGGAGCAGACACTGTCACGGATATTGGGATGAAGCCAGTGTTAGTGTATAAGATGGCCTTCAAATATTGCAATAACTATTCATAGTATGTGTACATTGTGGCGTTTGTAATATTATATGGTATCAATACATTGTCAAATACACGTCTTGACTTGAGCGATGTTAATCCTTCATTACGGTACCAGTCTAATAAAGAGCATGTCAGTGAAATAATGAAGGTGAGGTGAGGTGAAATTGGGTTTAACGTCGTGCTTGAGAATATTTCGCTCATATGACGACGTGCATGCGTGTGTATGTGTATATGCGGCTGCTTGTACTAGCCCAGACTTAAGCTGGTTTTATAGTGTTAGCTCACTGAGATACCATGCCGCAGTGAAGCATGAATACCCCACTCAGACACATTATACTGACTCCGAGCCGACCAGTCCTTGTTGTACCCATTAATGCCGAGCGCCAGGCAGGGACCAACAAGTACCATATTTTAACGTCTTTTGGTATGACGCGGTCGGGGATCGAACCAGCGACCTTCCGCTCTCCGGGCGGACGCTCTAACCACTACACCACGGAGGCGGTCGATATAATGAAGAGAGAAACAATGACAAAAATATAATGAATGCTTTCAACGGATTCACATGTCTTTAAGAGATGCATTATCATGAGCATACTTTAATCAGTTAAAATATTCCAGGAACCTTCAGCTGGGGCTATGGCTGTGGTCAGCCGAATTCTCCAGCCAAATGGATTGTTACCACCATCAATGTTGAGGCGCATTAATGCACAACTTAAATACAGGTTTTCAATATGTGAATCACGGTTTGATAATATGCAATGCGATTTTTCAATAATTGTACGACACACATATTTGACATTGGAAGCGACCCAAAACAAGGATGGTGTAAGAGCACCTACAGCAACAATATGCAATCAAACATTCTCATTGCTAATCATACCTTGATAGTAGACGTGGAATATTATGTGCGCACGTCGTAGATAGTGATATTGTTTAGATTTACGGTATGTATGTAGACCCTGACTCGTCGCCAATAGTACCTGCCTCACCCGCCGCATTGCAGTGCGATTACACACAGTTACGCCAATTCCGGTACAAGTCACACGAAGCAGCACTCAGTGATCTGACATTAATGAACGGTCCAACAATGAGAGACTGGACTGCCCTAAGGCTGCATATTTAAGGTCAAATAACCACTTGTTTTTCTTGTTTTCATGAACTAATATCACTGTTACCTTCCCTGGTCTATGTATGTTCATGAAACACATACTTGGTAAATCTTTGAACAAACATACATACTTCACTCACTGGATGTTAGTGGCCATGCTCCACCTCTATAGGGCGCTGGGGTAGCCTTCTGGTTACAGCGTCACGCCGAAGACCCGGGTTCGATTTCCCCACACTGGCAAAATGTACGAAAGACATTTCTGGTGTTCCCTCCGTGATATTGCTGGAATATTGCTTAAAGCGACCACTATTCATCCTTCTGGAACAAGTCCGTCATGCGACGTCTCGGGGAAGAGTTCGGAAAAAGCTCGGGTTGGATTCTGACGCCAGAACATCGACGTCGACGTATTTCAATAAAATAATCTGTTGCGGATTTAAAATTAACTGGCCCAATATCCAAGTACAGAATGTGTTTTTTACCGTCAAAACTAGTATGTAACACCAACGCTGACTACTTATCTAATCTGTAAACCAGGTTGACGTCTTGTTCTGCAGTATTTGGTGAATTTGGTGTCAGCAAGAAGAATATGCCAGCTCTTCTTCTTTTGTTGTATCTTGTATCAGGTAAGCTATAACGATGCAGTTATACTGCTACAGTGACTGGTCAATTTTCGCCTGGTAATAGCTTTCTTTCTTTAAAGAATTATATCCACATCTGTCTTCTGTGTGGTGTGAAACTATTTCTGATCTACATAATGCAATGCAAATATATTTTTATTTCTTTATCTCGATTAAATGAAAAGGAATGTAATGCTACAATATTAATACGATTCAATGAAAATTATGTTTTTGTTTCGTATCTTTGTTTAAATATTAGTTTTGACACAAACAAGATTAGACGATATGCAAGTTGCCTCAAACGTAGAAATTAAAATATATTACTTGTAACAAATTCTTATATAAGTTTAGTTGTGAATGTTATTACTGCTAATATTAATTATGTATTTAATTAATAATTAATGATCTATGAACTGACCTATACGTCAGAGTGACACTATCGTGTGCACTTTTGCACTGTAGGTCCAGACATTATTATCACAACCATGTCATAAATTGGGACATCATTTGTAGGAGGACCGATACACGTCAACGTGCATCGTGTTTTAAATGGCCCGAACCTAAATTTAGCCTCTTTTTGCAGTTAAAAGTACTGCATGTGCATTTTCTAACAGGAAACATTATATACATTTTTAACGCTCCAGTGTCAGTTTTCGTGTATCTCACAGCCGTCATCCAGTACACTCTACAAATATTTCATGGATCCGCCTGGTGTGAAGAGTTGAACCTACAGTCAACATAATGCAGCGGCTGAGAAACGTTACTCTATAAATGCAGTGCCTATAGTATTAGACACCTCTGGATTAACTGCTTCCTATTATGTTGTTGGAACTAAATGTTTCTGTCTGGATACACTTTGTGTGCTTAATTCAGGACGGTACTGCCTGCAGACTTGCTTTAGGTTCTTATGAAAGTATTACAAAATGATTTCCAACTTTAAACGACGACTAACATATCAACGTGTTCGTGACCATCTTGCCAGGTGTTTCGAGTGATTTGAGTCCTCCAGGATGTGGCATCAATGATGTGGGTTTTGACTACACCACCCTCCCAAAAGTAACCCGGAAACGCATCGTTGGTGGAGAAATTGCAACTCCACATTCATTTCCATGGATGGTAAATAAAGACACATCTTTTCCAACATTAAAATTCCAGGATACACAATGCCATGTAGAAAGTGGTGTAGGGGATGACACTTTCTCATTCAGTTGCAGATTCTAGTGATGTTGGGTTTTCAGTCTGGGATTCTTCTGTAAAGCAGTTTTAATTCTAAATTCACCTTCTGCATCTACATGGCTCAATAGTTTGAAACAACATAGAGCGTCAAGATACAGACTTATCAGAAACACGTAAATACACATTGTATGTTAGCGTGTACTGGAGAAATACGTAAATACACATTGTATGTTAGCGTGTACTGGAAAAACATGTAAATACACATTGTATGTTAGCGTGTACTGGAAAAACATGTAAATACACATTGTATGTTAGCGTGTACTGGAGAAATACCAGAGAAAAAGACGTGAAAACAGGCATCCTTTTGAATTTTGTTTTGAATGATTACACAATGCCATTTAGAAAGTGGTCAAATGTAACATATGCTATATTTGGGATTACACTTTCTTAGTAATGTACAGATTCGTGTACTTTTGTTGGGTTAAATTTTTAATGTTTTTAACAGTTGACTTAATATACTGAGTGACCTAGATGTGCCCAACACTTAATACCATTTTAACAGCCGATGAAGGTGAATGTAATGAGGCGGCCACAATGTGTGATCTGCTTGATTTAATGAGCTTGTACATATATATCATATCTGATGCCACGAACCACTGGTTTGTCTGCCCATGAA